GGCCCCGGGAAGGTCAGCACAGAGGAAGGGCTGCTTCATACTTAAGTGCCTCTCCTCCTCCAGGCCGATGGATTCTATTTTCGGCCTCTGGAAGATGGCACAGACGGCATGGGAAACACAAGAGCAGAAAGAGGCGAATGTCTAAAGTTTCACACTGTGTCTTTCCTTGCCTCTTACGCACTAAGCGTTAAAAAAAAAAAAGACACAGAAGTCTAGCTGTTCCCTGCTTCCCTTGCTGACAGCCCCTCTTGCTGCCTGGGGCTCATTTCTGCCAGGGAAGTGCCTACCAACTTTTGAGACTCAGCCGAGGTGTGACAATGTCACCTGACTCTTTCTGTTGCCAACACTAACACTTAGTTTCTCCTCCAGGTCCCCATGGCCCCCTTTGCAGATTTCTGGCAGGCACACGCAATCTCTCATTGTATGTTTTTATTTACATCTTTGTGGCCCCCATCTCTTACAATTGGTGATGCCAATCATTTAACAAATACTGCCTGAGTACACAGTATTCTCATGACACTTACAATAGGTGGCAAACCATATGGACTGAAGTTACTGATGAAAAGGAATCTGTGTTCATATAATGCCATGTCAATTACACCTCAATAAATAAGAGAAAAGGAAAGAATCTGGGGGATGATGAACAGGGAAGGTTGCCTGACAAGCACATCTATTGCCTTTTCCAAGTTTAGAGTCAAGTAGGAGGAGGCAGATGTCAAAAAGAAAAAAAAAAGTACACAATTAATTTATAATTGCAATCATAAAAAGTTCTCCAAAGAAAAAATACAAATTGTAAAAGGTCCAGGAAAAAGTCTTATTTTTCTTTACATCCCTGAAGTTTTGTATGATTCTTAGTACATCTTAAGTGATAAATAAATGTCAACTGAATGAATAAATGATTGAATTAATGAGTTCTTTCTTTCCCAAATGGTAAAATTTAAATCTTAGGAAATTACAGAACTATGAAATTTCTGCCAGTCTTTAGCAACATACTCAAGTGAAATTTTGAGAAAAAAATTCATAAATCAAAAGACAAAAAAAATGCTTCGTTACAAACTACAATGGGCACGTAAAGAACAAGTAATTTCATGCTGAGATCATGAGACTGGACTGATATATGTGTTCATCCATTCCACCAGTATTTACTGAATTCAGATGTGTGTCTAATGCATACTGACACTTGTAAGGTACGGGGCCTGCTCTCACCGACACTTACTTTCTGATGCAGGGACTCAGAGAGACAAACCACCAACAAGGGAGCCAAGACAAACATGACTCTGGTTTGTGGCAGACAAACTAGAAAGCAAGGCAAAGCAAAACATGTCATAGAACCATGGGTTTATGTGTTTACGACTAGTGCACAGGAAGTAGTGCAGAGGTGATCAGAGTGAGCTTCTTTAAGAGGTGATGTTGGAATTGAGAATCACATTACCTGAAGGAGATGACCATGAGAATTCTGGGGAAAATGGATCTGGGCCCAAGGAACAGAATGTGCAAAGGCCCTGAGGTCGGGGTGGGGGTGGGAGGGCTGGCATATTTCAAGAATAGGAAGAAAGCCTAAATGGACAGAAAGAAGTAAAAAAGTAGAAAGATATTGAAGATGTAGGCCAGGGACACTCTGTAAGGAATCTGACTTGCCAGGAAGGCAATCCAAATGTATCTTAAGTAGGCAGTGGAATGATATGGCTGTATTTCTTATTGATGAAGACCACTTTGGCTACTGCATGAAAAAGGAATTTGGGGAGACAGTGTTATGAGCAGCAACTCCAGGTGGGAGTCTATTTAAATACTCTGGGAGGCCTGGCGGAGGACAAGTATGTGCATTTAGACTGTGTTTTGGCAGAAGGAAGCGGGAGAGCGACTGTAAACTGCAGATGAGTAGCAAGGAGCAGAGGTTCTGGGAGAGGAGACACCAAGCTGCCTCCTGGGTTTCTGCTCTAGACAATGACTGAATAGCAGCGTCGTCTACGGAGACGGGAGATGCAAAAGAGCCGGCTGTTGAGAGACTGGTACCCAAGGGTTCTGTTTCTGCTGTATCAGACTTTACGCACCTATCAGATTACCAAGCGGAGGCGTGAAGCTTACTGCATGTGTAGTTCCAGAGGCCAGGCCAGGAGGTGATCAGCGTGTAGCTGGTGTTGACACTCGTGGAGCCCCGTAAGTCTCACTGGGCATCGAGGGGGCTACATAAAAGGTACAAATCCTGAGCCCAAGCCCTGAGAAGGAGCAGCGGCAGCAAGTGCAATAAAAAGGAAAGTTGGGTTTTTAAAACCGGAAATATCTAACTGAGCCCGAATCCCTCTGAGAGGTGTATGCAGCGAAAGAAGTGCAGGGCCCACAGGACTTGGCTCCGTGGAGGTCACTGGTGGTCCCGACGGGGCTGGTTTCTACAGAGCAGCCCGCAGGGGTCAGTCCCGCAGAGAAACAGAACCAACGAGCTCTGCGGATAGAAAGGCTGATGGCAAGCAACGGGCTTGTGTGACTGTGGGGGCTTGCTCGGCAAGTCTGAAATTCATCCGGAAGGGCAGGCTGTCGGGAGGGCCAGGCTGGAAATTGGCAGGAGAGACGCTGCAGTCCACAGGTAGAATGCCTTCTTCCTCAGGGGAGGGAAAAATTCAGTTCTGATCGGGAAACCTTTCAACTGACTGAAGCAGGCCCAGATTATCAAGCGTAACCCCCTTTACTGAAGGTAGAATGACTGTAGACGTTAGCCACATCACAGTGACACCTGGATTGGTGTCTGTTTGAATGATAATAAAACAGCGGGAGACCAGCGCCTACTGCACTGATATTGACACGTGAAACTGACCACCACGTGTCTGAAGACCCATTGGGAACAGTTGCAGTGGGAAGGGAGGGGAGCAGGTGGAGACAGAAACTAAACACATGTTCTGGCGAGAAGCCATTCTCTGAAGAGGGCGGGGGAGAGAAGGGTAGGCAGATGAATAGAGCCATAGGGTTTTTGTAGTTGTTGTTTTGTTTTACAGCTTATGCCGCAAAGTTTTATGTTTATAGGAATGAACCAGTAAAAAAGCAGATATGATGATGTTGAAAGGGAATTTTTGATCCAGAGGACATGTGGAGGTGTTGGTTTTATCTAGAAACAGAGAGAGAGAGAGAGAGATGTGTTCTTTTCCCTCAAAGGAATAAACACCAAAGAATGAGGACCAGTGTTGGAAGATGACTTTGTACCAGTTTGAGGGTCGTGATGGAGGAGGGGGTTCCTTGTCCAGAGAGGGGCTAACTTCCCATCACTCACACTTTTACCTGAAGGTAATTTATCTCCTCAAAGGATGCACGTATTAGATGCAGAGCTTTCCTGGAGAGGAGTCCAGGTAGGGCTGGACCCAAAGTCAGGAGCTCTTTGTGTTGTCAAGATCTGGGCTCTAGCAGATCTGTGAAAATTTTAATATTGGAGAAAAACTGCTATGTTACTGTGGGCACTTTTCTAACAAGAAAGAGTCCCTTGCTGTCATCAGATTCCCCAAAGAATCCATCACCAGGGAAAAAAAAAAAAACTAGACACGTTGCCCAAAGGTCCCTTTCTACCCCGCGGTCGATTAGTTAACATGATGCTGTGCGTCTTTCTGTGCAGCCTGGAGAACCAGGGACAGGGGAAATAAAGATGCCGCCAAGAAGAAACAAAAATAGGAGGGCTTGTTCAAGAGTAATAGGATTATGACACCAAAATAGGTGGCTGAAGTAATAACATACAGAATAATACAGATACACTATTTATTTCCAGTATGAAAGAGCCACGTTGTACTTAAAAAGGAACTTCTTAGTGACAACTGTGCTCAAGAGAAGAGATAGCGTGGGAATGTGGTGACCCCAGAGATCCGGGGTTAGGAAGCATGTAAGCCCTTGCTTTGCAGACATCTCTGCTTTTTGATGGAAGGGCTAGCATGTGAGGCAGTGTCTCCCTGGTCTAATGGTTTTCTGGTGCATCTGTCCTAAAACACATTTCTTTCTAACAGTGCCTGTTCAAAATCAAGACCACCATTTCACAGGTGACTTCCCTCTGTGCTGGACTTTATTTTCAGTAGAGACTCAACGTCCATAGTCTCCCTGGGAAGCTGGCTAACACCCAGCTTTCTGAGTCCTTCTCCCCTGAAATCATATTCCAGGATGTAGGGGAAAAGATTAAGGAAATGCATCTTTCAGAAGCACTCAGAGATCCTGATGTGAGCGTTCTGCAGATCACGCTCTGGAAAGCAGTTCAAGCATGTATCTCACAAGGCACTCCGGTAACCGTACACGGGAATCTATTGAACGGGTTCGTATTAAAGTGATAGTGATCACATTTGTTCATTCATTAGGGGTCACTGGGTTTCAGTCTATAAGCAGGAGATGTCACTGCTAAGGTAGAAAAAAAATAATAAGATGCAATTTTAGATTTCAGTATAAACCCTGCAGGGAAGAATTATAAGGTTGGGAACCTCTCCTGCATAATCTTAACCTTATTCTAGAGTGATCGCCACCACTACCTATGTTTACAACCTTCCTCATCTGGGAGATGGAGTGCTAGGTTTAAATTCAGCCCCAGCAACTCACAGAAGAGCGGAAGGCTTGCATAATTCCAGGAGAGATGTATTCCATCACAGTGGGTGGAAATGTTTCTTCCCTTCCCATCCTAGAGCAAGGAGGGGGAGTGTCTTATAACAGCTCACCTTCCTTCTGTGAAAAACCTGAACGTAAATTATTCTTTTACTGCAAGGACAAATGGTGGCTCAAACTTCCAGAGCTCTTAATTTTAAACTTTGTTGTTGCTGTTGTTGCTGTCATAAGCTCTTATCATGTGATCACCTCCAGGCTACTTCACCTCTAAATAAAAGAAGAGTTTTTCTACCTCTGGGTTGATTTTCACATTTTCAAATGCACATAAGTAATGAAAGGGTAGCGATAACTTTCAAACAATGGCAATCTCATTCTCCAGGCAGATAACCCAGTGCAGTGTGGATGGGGCCGCACACAAACGCACCGCAGCGCTGGGTACTTACTGTAGGAGCATCCGTAGACCTCAACCCTCATGCCAATCTTGCCAGTAGGATTCCACTCCAGGGGCACGAAGCGGACGAAGCGGGCTCTCACTGAGTGGAGTAACTTGTGATGTACCACACTGTCAGCATTCATGTTTCCTGCAAAGGTCTGCAGGGAGAAAAGGAGGCCCAATGAGGTCCAAGGGAAAAAAAAAACATTAATTTTTTTTAATGGAAGTCCTGGGAATTGAACCCAGGACCTCACACATGCTAAGCACATGCTCTACCACTGAACTATACCCTGCTCTGTCAAGGAACATCAATTAAAATCCATCTACGTTGCTCCATAAAGTCTCTCAGAGAAAATCCTCAACTTCTCAGATCTTTCCAATGAAATCTGACTCTGGTAAAAATTCAGCATTATGTATTATATACATTTTTTCAGAAATACTATACCTTATTCTTTAAGAAATTCCCTCCCCACAATTTTACAAATAAGACGATCCTAGCAAGTCATAAGACTTGACACCTAAGAGCTTTACTGAGTAAATAATAGAATGAATTTCTGATACTCCAAACATTCACAATCACTGTGGTGTGGGGGGCAACTGAAAATCTCCTCCCAGAAGGAAAGGCTTTTATAGCAGGAATTGCTATCATTAATGGAAGCCGGTTACTATGCTAAGCATTTTCCATTATCATTATTACCTTTTTACTGGTTAAAAAAAAGAAAAACAAAAAACTGACATCTAGAGAGAGAAAAGCAGAAGAAAAAAAAACCCTGCAGATCATCTGATTGGTTAGTAATTGGTCTGGGATTCACTTCTGAAGTTGTCTTATCCCAAACTTTATGGTTTTTCCACAGTCCCACACTCTTCAAATGTTCCACTGTTAATCACTGCACGAGGAAGAACAGGAAGCTCTGGTTTTTATGTAATTTATATTCACATTTCCTTGTGAAGTTTAAGCAAAGGAACGCACAGCATGGGAGGTACCTGGCACACTAAAATTATGCCTCCTGGCCTTCATTTGGATGAATGATTTCTGGAGTAGAAATTTTGCTGCAAATGGAATCCAAAGTCTTATATCTAATCTTTCTTCCCCCCATTGGAGTCAAACGTGCATCAGAAAATTTACCATTTTAACCATTTTAAAATAGGTAGTTCAGTGGCAGTGAGGGCATCTCATTACTGTGCAGCCATCACTGCTCTCCAGCCTCCCCTGGGACGTTCTCATCATCCCGGTGGTACCTAAACTTTAAGACAGGATGTCAGCTAGAGCACGGATTTGCCTGCTTCATTATGAGTCATTACCTGCCTTCCTCTCCCACTGGAGTATCGTAGATACTCTTAGCATCAACCAAGAGAAAGAAGATCCACTGGCTTCTCAAATGGCCCAAGTGAACAGCAGGTAAAGGCTTTTATCGATTTATTGGAATTCATTTCAATGATTCAAACCTCAACCTTGACTGAATTCTCATAATATCTGTGAATCTAGGGTACCTTGAACAATCTGACATTTCTGCTGGACACCAATCACTCCGGCTAATCTCTCTGACATTGGGCAATTGATATAATCACTATTGGATCCCCCACGGGGGCTTTTGAACAAGGGAGAAGCTCACCATTCATTTTGCAGCAAAACCCTGGTGCATGAGAATGACTTGGTGGAGAGAAATTCCTTGAGATTTGAAGCCAGTGTTCCGGTCCACAGCTTTGTCAAAGTTTGGCCATTATCTCAATTCAAAAAAGAATGACTTGAGGGGAAAATATGGGCTCAGTGGTAAAGCACCAGCTTAGCATGCAAGAGGTCCTGGGTTCAATTCTCATCATCCCCATTAAGCAAATAAAGAAATAAACCTAATTACCTCCCCCTCCAAAAATAAACAAAAAAGAATGGCTTTATTTAGCAGGCTTATCTTCTCCATGTCATGATTCCCACTTCAGCAACTGGTCCAGGTAGAAAACCACCTCCCTC